CAAACACTCCCCTGATACTATGGACATCGGAGCTGGAGTAAGATGAACAGGCTGATGGCTGCATCACATAGATGCTGTACTGTTAGACTTTGCTGAATGATTTACAGTTGTCCAAGCCAGTCTTGGACCCAAGAAGAGCAAGGCTACACTCAAAACAAGCAGGAAGCCAAAAACCTTGGAAAGGGGCACTGCCAGTCCATCCAAGCTGCGGAATGAAGTTTGCCTGCTTCTATGAGTAAACTTGACCCTTATAGAAAGTGACTACCTTCATTTTATGATTGTAATGTACTAATAGCAACTCTTGGTATAACCTGCAGGGCTGGAAATAATGAGGGAACTGAATACAATACTCCCAGGGCATGGGCTTAAAGTGATAACTATTCAAGCGTAGCCCTTGACTAATGCAGTTGCTCTTGCACATCAAATAATGTCAGAAATGCCACACTTCATAAAAAAGGGCTATAAAACTTCATTGTGATCCTTCAGCCCAGAAATCCACGCTCAAAAGGCTAAAAAGTTTTTAAAGTTTGCTGTATTACATATAGGGAGATGGACATAGGAATTAAAGATATTCCAGGTCACCTGCATTACATTAAAAATGTGTTCTCCCTGATCAGTGTTTTTACATTGCCGTGTCTACACACATTGCTTTTTTTTTATCTCTTCAGTTTTGTTTCTGCAGTATTACATTAGCCAGATAGGGCTACTGGAGGGCAGCCAATAGGGTGATACTTGGAGAACAGCATGGATGCCTCTTAAAGCATTTGAATCTTTCGCTCCAAGCAAGCATCTTGCAGCAGTGAATCTGATCCATCATGAGTTGAGCCATGTTGGCAGCCAGGATAGCAACAGCTGAAGAAAATGCAAGCACAAGCATTTTCTGCTCAGCTATGGACTAGGACATTGGAATGAGTTGATTCTTGCGAGGAAAGAAAGCTGCTTTTATTGTGCTTTCTGGGACAGTTCATATGATAATGATGGTTGTAATATAAATAATCATTAAAAGGACAAAAATCCATCTCAAGAATGGGCACAAGTAGCACTTGTGTTCACCTGGTGTTAGAGCATGCAGCACAAAGTCCACTGTCACTTGCTATAGACTAGCCAAAACCAAAAGCAGCTGCTGACTGTGCCTGCAGAGTGAGGCAGGTGCTTCTGAGGGCACGTTGACCAGTCAGGGAGTTTAACAAGAAAATGCAGCCTCTCTTCCAGATAAATGGTCTTGAATTCACTCAAACTGCAAGACGATGATTTTTATCGTTTGTAAAAATCTCTTCTGGTCTCTTTCCATTTTTTTTCTCAGAGCTGGTAATTGGTATTACAAATCCATTTGTGACTGGTAAATGAATTTCCCTGTTTACCAGAACTCAAAGGTGCCTACCAGTCTGAAATAAAGTGTATTTTTATTTTATTAAGTAAGCTCAGACAAGCTGTTGTTTGCAAGTTTGCTGCCACTGTGCAAGCAGCACTTCCCTAAATGATGGTAGAGCACATTGAGAGCTAACCTGGCAGGCAGGCACCCTGCAGTCCTTGCTCTGCACAAAGCTCCTCTCCTGCCCATACAGCACCAGCCAAATGGGACCTCGGCCCAGGTGAACTCTTCAGCAGCAAATCAAACTCATTCCTTGATACTGTATCTACTTCCTCTCATGTTTTTTCAGAACTACAATAGCGTTTCCCAGAGTGCCACGAATTTCCAGCAGTTGCATCAGAAATATCCAGTTTTCTCTACAGATGGAATAGGCAAGCTCTTATTCTACCTTAATGTCTGACTTCTGTTGACTTGTTAATGCCTTTTGTCCTGATCATACAATGCATCCTATTCAACAACACCCCAAGTAGTTAGGTCCAAAATGCTATTTATTTACAATGACCCTCTGAGGATGTTTTGCAGTAACTTAAAGCAAACAAACAAACGTGTTTGTTTGCTCCTCTCTGCAACTTGTTGTTTACTGCAAACAGTCCTTAACCTCTTCTTCCCTCCCCAAAAGGTAACCACAGTTCGCTGCAGTTCTGGCTCCTGCTACCATCGGTAAACACTGTGTCTTACTAAATTATTGCTACCGAAAGGCATTTCCCAGACTTGTTCATGCTCCGTAGGATTAAGTCAGAGGATTCTCCTGCTTGTTTCTGAAGAGAGTCTTCCGATTCCTCTTTATTTCTCTGTTTGCTGCCATAACAGGATGCTGAAGTTGCAAGGACTGTGTCTCATTTATCACTTACCTGATCAGATGAGGGTTCTTGCAGCCATTCACAGGAGCAGGTGACTGGAAGGACCCCACCCACCACCCCCTCAGTGCCCACTGCCATCCAATGCCCAGGGCAGAGCTGGTCCTGCTGTCAGGAGCCCCAGCTCTGCCCTTTGGCAGCTTTTGCCAGCCCCAGATGGTCCCAAGGAGTGTGCTGGTGCTGCAGGACATGCAGAGGACATGTTTCAGTGTGCATGTTTTGTTGTTTTATGAGGTATTTGTTGCAAAATAAGCATTTCACAAGAGTGATTCCAAAAGGAAAAAAAAAAAAAAGTCCATTTTAGCATCCAAACATATTCCATTCCCAACCTGGATGTTTACCAGTGCTGTCAGACCTTCCACCCTTCCCTCCCCTGCATCCCACTCTGGGTGTGAAATTTCAGCAAACATTACACAGCACTTTGCAGGGCATTTTCAGTTTGGTTATCCTTTGAAAACATAACAGGTTCTTCAGCTTTCTCCACACATCCTCATCCAGCCCCTGGAGATGGGCAAGGCTCTGCCCAGGAGGTTGGGGCAGCTACAAGGAACTGTAGGGATCCAGTGGATGTCAGGAGTCCAAATCTTGTTTTCACCTCTCACTCCTCTACAATTTTTTCCTGGAAAATATTCAATACTGAGGCAATGGTTTGCTCTCTTATTTATTACCCTTGGCTCTCCTCTGTTACATAAACCATCTAATTTTCAAAGTCATCTTCCAACATAGAGAGACATAGACAAGCTGGGCATGAAAGTATTCTGGGCAACATTTCAAAGCAGTGGCAAGGCTTCTCCATGGCAAAAAAAGTAAAGGCAGCCTCTCTTGTTCTTCCATCCAGTGCCCATTGTTTGTTTTGCTATACAATGCAAAAGACAGTTTGTTTTACCACTAATAACATCAGAAGTGAATTAAGAAAAAAGCAAGTGGTATCTTTCAAGGACTGTTCTTCTCAGAATCCTTTACCAACATGGGCAGTAGAGTGACTCAAATTCATGCTTTTCCAGCTTTTCCTGGAGTTTACCTTAGACCACTGCTACAGAGACAGGGTTCTTTATATATATAGAGCTCCACATATATAAAGAGAGAGAGAGAGTGATATAAACTTTGTAAAGTTTTCTGAGTGAAATAAACCCAAATACTCCTTAAAAGCCAAAAGAGAAATCTCATTTCAAACTTTCCTTCAGGACAATGGGTTAAAACAATCCACATGGTCACATCCTGTGTATTAATACACTTGTTCATCTGAAGAGCTGCTAAGCTGCAAATAAGGGGCTAAAGCTCTTCAAACAGCTACCTTTCAAACACTGTTTCTTATTACTGCTGCTTTCTTTTATTGTTGGTGATGTCGTGCCATGTAGGAGGTGTCATCACAGAGAAGGTCCCACTGGGAACAATTCCTTTGCAGGCACAGACAATTCTCTCACTGGGGTGACTCAGGTGTTGCATTTCCAAGCTCGAGGAAAACTGACACCAAGAGTGTGGAGTCAGCACGGTGGAGAAAAGAGAATGACAGAAAACTAAGCCTTTAATCTCAAAGGACCATGTTATGCAATATAAACTCCTAAAGACCCAGTATGGGAAAAAGTGTTAGGAAAATGACTGACTAGAAGGCTGCAGCCAAAAGAGCTTTCAAAGCACCCAGCCTGGGCCAGAGACTGGAAAAATAATATCTGTATGCCCTAGGAAATGAAGTAGAAAACATATTTATTTGCCATGTGGTTCTTTCTTCCACCGGCTTTTCTTTTATACCATCAAATATGTATGGCTTTGTAAAAAATTAGTGTGTGTCTGTACAGGCATTTACCAAAAAAAAGTCTCATTTTAAGTTAAAAAAATCATTCCAGACTATTACTGGACTGAGTGCAGTCATTAAGCATTATACACTGATAGCTTATTGTTCACTTATGTGATAATTTTACTTCCAATTATATCTGGGTAATGAATAAAGACAGTTTAGACTTTAACCTATTTTCAGAAACCAGAGTTCTATCAACATGCAGTTATTTATGCTAATGAAAATAATGATCTTTTTATAGTGCTTGTCACTGAAATGGAATGATGTCCTGCCAACTGTGCATGTTTGCCAGTGGCTACAAATTAATCAGCTAAACTGGAGTGGTAATTGGAGTAGAGACAAGTCAAGGGGCAGCCAGGCCAGCTCTGGCAGAAAAGCTTTTGAAGATGAATACCCTGTTCAGCCCACAAAACAAAAGAACTTGTTTATATAATGCTGTTGTTTAATTAAATCTAAGCAGCTGTTTCATTAAGAGGTCTCTGAAGATAAATGTGAAGGTGATGGGCAGGGGAATCAAATTGTGATGATGATTGTGTTATACAGGATTACGCTGCACATTCACCTCACACCTGCCTAATGAAATTATTTCATAGAGCTCCTGATTATTAACTGCAGACAGACACCTGAGTGTAACCCCTGGCACTGAGCACACCCAGGGACCACATTTGGAGGGCTTGGCTGCAGAGCTCAGAGTTTAACTGAGCTCATACAAAGCTCTAACTCGTTGGTCCACAAGTGACTGCCCATGACAGATGTCCCTGAGTACACCCAGTGACCACACAAGTGACATCCTCAGTATCCTCCCTTGGTTTGCTCTGGTTCCCTGTTGTAAACTGCAGGGATAAAACATGGGAAGTTCTTGTGCCTTGCTTTGCTCAAATAACCTTCTCTTTTTTTTTTTTTCAGCCCTTTCTTTTTTTCACCTTTTTAATTTCTTGCCAGTTTCTCTGCTGCAGTTGTTTATTTTACCTTGTAGGCACAACTAGCACCTGCCCTGAGCAAGACCTGTAACTGTGCTGGACATTTCTCTCCCATCAGGGGTGGATTTCCCCTGACAACTGCAGCACTGTGGCTGGGGAGAAGCTTTCAGTGAATCCTGATTGTCCCATAACATGCTGCAGGAGAGGGGTAGGTGAAACCTCTGGAAGTACCTGCTCCACAGGCAAAAAAACCATTCTGTTCTCCTTCAAGCTGACCCAGTCTGGAAAATTCTGCCTGTTCCCTGCTCTTCTTCCCACCCTGAGCTTGTGCCAAGAGCTAAAGCAATTACATGGGAAGCGTTCCTTAGCTGCGGGCTCAGAAGCTGTGGTTGGTTGGGTAGGAATGAGCAGCCATGGATAGGAGCCTGGAAATGTCATGGGAATAGTAGGAAATTGATAATTATTCATGCATATGACATTTAAAGATACATTTTTAACCTCCACAGTTGCAAAGGAAAAACTTGGAAAACATGACACTAATCTACTGTAAGGGCTCAGAAACCGTAAGGCAGGGAAAAAATACACCGGGTTTTCACTTTTCTAAAGCATCCTGTGATTTTCTGTGTTGACTTTGTCTTAACACAAAATTCAGAATTTTGCCAACAAAGGAGTTTGGGATCTGGATGCTGAAGGCTTCCCTTGTTTTTTGGTCCAGGTTGCTGCCGCTCAGACCTTGTCAGTGGCTGCAGACTCCCTGCCTTGAGAGACATGGGAGGCAAGGAGCTTCCCTGACACACTGGTCCTTATGGGTTCTGAGACAGAGGTCTTGCACACATTTAACAAATATTTGGAAAGCAGTTTTCATAGTCCCATTGGTAAAAAGAGCAAATTTTGTTGAAGGGTCTAGTCTTCTAATTATTAAGCATTTTTGATAATAACAACAACAACAACAACCTGGCACTGCAACCAGTTTTCCCAAGGATTTAAATTTCATCCAGAAAATGTATTTTTAACAGTCAAAGACCATTATGGGAGTATTTCTTTTGGATGTTGTTCTTTTATTCTGTTCCGACTCAAAGCATATTCCTCAATGATAGATGTGGAAGCATTTTGCTTGAAGATGAAAAATAATTTTCCAAATTTTAATTCTCCAATGAAATGTATTACAAGCAGTTTACCTACTGTGAATCATGCAGCCATTTCCCTCTGACAACATGCTTACTTGAGAAAGTTATCCTACCCAGATTCAATGGGATCTTTGTCATTCATTCTATTTAGGAAGTTTCTATAGCCCTGCTAAGAGCAGCCACTGCTGTGTTTTGTTAAAGGCAGAGGCCACATTGCATCCCAGAAGACACTGCAGGTATTCCCTTGGGAATATCTTCCTTTTTTTTAATAGGTCAACAATTTTGATCTGTGCTAAATGGGAACACGAGTGGAAAAAGGAGCACTATTTAAAGCATGTTTAACATGCTATTGACAAGCCACTTTTCATCAGAGATCACCAGGTGTCTTTGTGCTGTTAGAACGCAAATCCTGCTCCTCTTGCCATATAATACCACTTCTAGTCTTAGAGGGTGTTTTGTGAACGTTAAGCTCAGCTGCCTTTCCTCAGTGCCTCGGGATGGAGCACAGCAGGGATCCTGCACTGGCAGGGGCAGGTGTGATCCTGCTGTCCTTTGTGGCCATGAAGGTGAACTTCTGAAGGATCTGGCCCTATTTGAGTAACGCACTGTACCGTATCCTATTAAACTGGCACCCCTGACTGCTCCTGTGAGCTTGGCGCTGTGGAATTTTCAATAAAATGTAATTATTTTATAAGGTGTGTAAAGAGCTTATCCAAGGCACATGCTCATTAAGCTCTTTCAGTTGTCATTAACATCAACCCCTAAAGGACAACAATGGCAATAATGCGATATGGGGCTGAAAACAGTGGCATTTCATAAGAGAGCACAGTGGAGTGATTTAAAAACACCGATCCTCTCTCTCAGCCTTCTGCTAGAGCCAGGAGAACATGGATGCTTGGAATTAATTAATGATTCTTATAGTACACTTGGACTAATATGGAAGCTTGGTATTTAACTGGAATGAATCTAGCATTCCAGATAGATTTTATGGTGATACACCATAGAATGAGTAGCAATTACAGATCAGTATTAAGAAGAAAGGTTAAAGATGTTCTGTTTCAAACAGCAGAATGAGCCACCATTATGCAAAGGGCCTTTGGTGGCCCTTCAGCTGCAGAAAGGCTAGGGAGCAGCTCTGCATGTGCAAGGCATATGGAAAGGCTTAACCCAGTGGATTCAGCAGGGAGCTGGAAGGTTGACTACACATGGACTGATGTGTTCCCATTTGTTCTTCACCACAGGTCAGATTTAACAGCCTGTTCTGGATTTGCACTGCAGTAACTGGGACCAGATTCAGTTCTTTAGGCTTCTGCATCGTGGTGGTCCCCAAATCATCATGGCTCAGTGTTGTCACAGCTGTCCCCTGTGACCATTCAGAGACCAGAATGAGGTCCTGAACCTTTTCTTCTTCCAGGTTGGATCTGCAGCCTTTCAGCTTGCTCTCTTTAGTCATTCCAGCAAGGCATCATGGGTTTAATGTCCTCCTGACCAAACTGTTTGCTCCCACTTGAACTACTGCATTGAGAAAAAAACAGGTTCATTCTCCCCTGATCCAGAATTTGTAAATAGTAGAACTCTCTGAAGGCTTCCCAATTAATTGTGTACTTCAGAGGGAAAACAAAACTCCTGCACACTTCATTTCCTTCCAGTCCTACAACTGGAGCAGCCCATCACAGTGTCCATAGCCTGAGCACCACTGCTCTCCCTCTGCCTGAGCAGCTGCACCAGGCACACCTGGCAGTCCCAAACCTGACTGCCTCCTCTTCTCAGGGGGCTGGAAAGGCACTTTGATTCTTGCATTCACAACCTGGGCTTCCTCACTTGCCAAATACATCTGACAGACCCACCAGGTACCCAAATCCCCACCTCGCCTGGCTGCTCAAAGGACAGTCCCTGAACAAGCAGGTTCAGTCAGCTCAGGAAGACCTACAGAAAACTGTGTCCCTGCAAAGGAGAAATGTTCTTTCTGCTTGAGGATTGATCTCCAGGCAGCTCAGCACTCACCTGGCCTCTCTCTCTGCCCCTCACCCTCTCCCATCAGGATCAGCAGCACAGCTCCTCCTGGGCATCGCAGGGAGGTGGCTGCCAGTGAGCACGCAGCCTGAAGTATGGGCGTGGGCTGATAACAAAGGTGGGAAGAACACATGCTTTCCTCAGCTCTGGCGGTGCTGAGGAGCCCCTTTCCCACGATTGATGGGTTTCTCACACCAGGGCCCGCCCAGCCCAGATGGAGAAGCAGCGCTATTTCCCCCACTGCCTCCTCTCCCTCCCCAGCCCCAAACTCCCCGCCCAGCAGAGGCTGAGCACAAAAGCCACTCATCAAGTTAAAAGCCAGCCTGCAGTGCCGGAGGAGGGGCTGGCAAGAATCACCTACGATTGAATTCAGCAATGGGAAGGGACAAGTGATGAGGGTTAGGAGTTGAACCGATGGGTCTCTATCCATTTGGCTGCTCCAAGGTTGGCCTCTTTTTTTGTTTTCTCTGGTGTATCTTTAATATCCTCCTTCCTCCCTGATACAAATCAGTGATTCCTGCTTGGGTACTCGGCTCCTGTAAGATTTTCGAGCAGAGCTGAAGGCTACAAGATTACTGAACAACGAGCAGAACCTGCTTTATTGCCAAGCATTTAATATCCTGTTTCCAGCAGTGGAGGCCTAGAGGAAAAGTATGGCATGAGACCTCTCCCAGCATATCCACTGTGCCTCTGGCATAAAGGTGAGGAGAGGACATAGGTTCAGAGCCATCAAATAAGAAGACATCCTTCTCATATTAATCCTTTTCTCAAATAAATCTGCACCTGAAAAGCCTTTCACAGTCAAACAAGGCCAAAAATGTTTTCATTTATGTCCATCACTCCCAATCTGACCTCTTGCACATTTGTTGCATATGTGCAGTATTGGATAGTAAGTGCAATGGGACAACGAATTAGTGGGCTCAGAGTTGTCCACAAAATACCTGAAGATATGGACCACTTTAAAAATAAATTATAAATATATTGTGTGAAACAAAGGAGGTTTTCTTTTCTAATTTGTTTTTCAACTTTTTGCTTATATTTTTTTATTAAGCTCTTTGCTCTAAGCCTGAATGTTTTCTTATTGAAATTACTCCTTGTCATTTGTAAAATATTCTGTCTAACAAGGAAGATCTTTTGCCCGTGACCTTCAAAATAGAGGTCATGTTGTTCAAAAATTATTTTAACTGTGTTACTTCTAGGCTGTGTTCAGGTTTGTAATACTGAAGAGCTGTGTTGAGTGCATATTCACCACAGCACAGCAGTAGCTTCATATTGCATATCAGCATTAGTACAAAATCCATCGTGAGTGTTTTAGGACAGGGGTTTGTGAGGGTCTGAGTGAAAAAACTGTCTGTGATAGTGAGTGTGCAGACTGAAGAATAAATATTTAAAGGTGACTGTGGAGGAGGTTTTGTAACATCATGAATTAGCAGCAGCTTGTGGTCCCTATAGCTCATTTCCTGATGTGATGCCTCTCAGGATGCTCCTGCTCTGCTGCTTCCTGGTGCCAAACCAGCACCGATCTGGGGGTCTCCTCCTCACAGTGCCTGGGGCAGCTGCAGCCCCAGCCCCAGCTGGGGGCTCCCCATCCAGGCTGGCACTGTCCCCTCACTGCCTGCACATGGCTCTGGGACACTCACTTCTCACAAGTCCACAGCCTTGTGGTTGTCATAACCATTCCCCAACTCATTTCCCCGTGTGCAGCGATCGGATATGGCTCTGGTTCAACAAGGTATTTAACCATCTGCTGAACTAATCAGTTCCTTCAGCTGGAATTTGCAGACTGTGATGCAGAGAAAACAGCATCCATTGCACCCCACAACAAATAACGTCAAACCTTCCCAAGTGAGAACTTGCCAAGCTCAAGGTGAATTTTGTGTCACCTCTGGGGCAGCCACCTGGTCAGCAGCAAAGCCCCCTGTAACACAGCTCTCAGCAGCACTGACACCACACTGTTTGGTGCTGCAGGCTGTGGGTTTAGCTCTGGAAAGCTGCAGTTCATAGTTTCAGCTGAGGTGACTGTCACCACATCTCAGCCACAGCCCCCTGGGTCACTGCTTCTCTGCAGACTCCTCTGCACCCAACTGCTGCTCAGCTGCAGGAGATTTTTACAGCTGGAAAAAAAAAGAAAAAGGCTTATTTTGAATAGCATCTCAATTGATATTCAAAACAAAGATATGGATGTAGTCTGTTGTAGCTAAAGATTTTTGTTATTAAAAATATTTCCAGCTTACCGTTTTCCGTTCTCAGGGTGTTCATTTATGGACAGGCCATTATGTACTATATTCAGGTGTAAAAGTGAATTTGAAAAAAATTACATTTTAAAGTAAAATGTGGTGAAATTTATTACCTAGAGAAACATTTATGTAGCTATAGATCGGCAGGCAAAGGAGATTGTAACATCTCAGGGCACACTTGTGCGTGTGAAAAGGTGTGCATGACTCTAAAGAGACAGTGCTGAATAATATGAATATAGGTACACATGGAAATCCAAGGAATAAAGACATCCTGGTTGAAACCAATGCATATATTTTTTGCTTGTTCTTACATTGTATTTGGAAAAGATCATTTAAAAAAAAAAAAGACAACTCAAGAGACAGAGATGCACATGTAGATGCATGTCTGCATGGAGGACTGGTGGCAAATTGACTTTACCTCTAAGGAAAAACTGCTCACCTATTTAATGTTGAGTGGTTTTCGTTGCCCTTTGTTGAAGGCATCTTTTTCTGGTTATAAAACTGTTTCAGCCATCTCAGTCACTAGCAAATGTCTATAAAATGGGGACGGTGTTTCTCCTGTTAACACTTTGAAACCTGTACAGGCAGCTGCCACCGAGGGAGATGTTCTGTGAGAGCTGGATTCAGACCTTGGGTATGTTCATAGATCCTAAACGCTCCTGAAATCAGACCTTAATCAGTCTTAACATTAGGATTCTTTAGACACAGAGGCTGAATGCAGTAGAAACCCATGGAAGAGCTGGAGAAAACTGTTACAGACACTCTCTGGTGAACAAATTCCTGAGCTGTGCACCAGATGAGCAACCCTGATCCATCTCTGTGTGCGATGGTTAAAGCACTGCATGGGTTAAACTGATGAGTCCTGAACGCTGCACCATGAAAATAACAGTGTGTCTGAACAGCTCCAGTGAACTGAGTTAAACTCTGGACAAATTCTCCCAACAAACTCACAAGCAATGCATCACATTGGAGCTCTGGGCACACTGGTGAACTTTTGGGGGTGCCTGCTTCTATCTCTGGGTATGTATCCATTTCCTCACCTGGAAGAGCCCTAAATGGAATGAGCACCTGCTGGAAATGGAGCATCTGTCTTAGACCTTCACTTTCTGTTAGCTGCATAGGAAAAAGTGGTCTCGATTAGTTCATTTTAGCAAAGAAAACCAATTAAAAAAAAAAATCACTTTCCTTGGGGTTAAATGTTCCTGGGCAAATATCACATTGAACTCCATGCCATGACTGATGTCCCAGTAAACTGTTCCATTACAGATAATAAATAATAACATAATAATAATATTAATAAAGAAACATATAAGCCCACATTGACTGCAGAAATATTCGTATTTTGCCATACTTACATGGAGCTTAGTCCAACTTGCCGTGGCAGAGAAACAATCCTTAGGGAGCTTTAGGGACTGTTGGGTACTAGAAGGTCAGGTCTCTTTTAGGTCTGGACGTCCTAATTCAATTCCAGCTAATGCCTGATGTATGAATAATTCATTAGTATTTCTCAGTTTGGAGCTAAACTTCTCAGAGAATTTAGTAAGTGTGAATGTTGCTGCAGTAAACATATGCCGATTATTTTTTTAGAAGCTAGAAAATGAGGTTACTCCCAAAAAAGTGGGTAAAATAATTAAAATGTAAATTGAAATAAATTATTCACACTACTAAATTTAAATAAATGACTCAAACACCTAAACTCAATTAAGGCATGTTGTTAGTTAGAATACTCAGTATTGTATAGCAGATGTACAAAGCCAAGAACTGGCACCAAAAAAGAGTTCAGTGTGCATGAATGTTTTATAGGTAACAGAGTGTATACCCTAAGGGCCTTGAATATTACATTAAATTATACATTTCTAATAAAGCAAATATAAATGAATATGGAACAAATGTCGACTTTCAGCTTTAAACCCCAAATACTTCTTTCAAGAGCAAGCTTCACCATTGCATAACAGTTGCAATATTATCTTGTTTAATGGCTTAAACACTGTTGTCAGCTAAATAACTGTGTGTGTATGCACGACAAGGCATAAGTGCCATTGGCAACTGTTGTGTAGTGTTATGGAAACCATTCTAAAATAAGACCACATTTACTGTCACTTAAAAATCTTTTAAAATTTTAATAGAAATAACATATTCAGCAGAAGAGACTTATTAATTTGCTGTAACTCTCTTTTTTTCTGTTTGGTTTGTTGTTTTGGGGTTTTTTATGGCTCACTTGCAATCACAAAAGCAAGCTACTGTCAGAGCCTAGCTATAGGGAGGGAATATTCCTAGCTCTACAAGCTCCTTGTGTCAGGAAAAGGACTGAGGGGGAGGAATCTGGCAAGCAATCAATATATTTTCTTTGCCATGGTTTTATAAAATACAGTATCACATGTTGAAAGTTCATGCATTTAAGCCTACAGCCTAAGATATAATATTTAGCCTACAGCCTTAGCTCCAAAATAGAAAGAATCCTTTGTTCCTTTTTTTGGCTGAAGAGGGGAAAGAGCAGCTCTGCAGGAGCTTTGTTAATGCATCTGACATACCACGCTATCAGTCATATTTTGGATGCTCAGCCTGACTTCAGACTTTATGTGGGATGGACCATTCCAGCTGTGCAAAGTGAGCAGGCGAAGATCCCTCTGTTGGTTCCCTGCTCCAGCTCCAGCATCCCACACTCCCACAGAGGGGAGTGCAGACCTGGGCCACGCTGTGACTCGGGGGCAGCTTTAAGGACACTGTCATGAAACCTGTGTTCATACCAAGCAGTTCCTCACAAGGGCACTTTGCCTTTGCTGGCAGTTCTGCATGTTTATGTTGCTGTTCACCTGCTGAAAATACACATGTAAATCCAAGCACTTCCAGAAATAGAGATGATGCACTGGGAAAGAACCGCTGAAAGATTTTTTTTTTCTCTAATCGGGTTTGCAGTTAAGACGTCAGCTAGTTTTGTCCTCTGCAAAGCAACAGAACAGATACTGAAGTGGGCCCTAATTGGATCTGTTAACCACCTAACAAAGCCACTGCACACTAACCAGCCTCAATTACAGCAGCTCTGAATAAAGTGCAAGCGAGGAAAACAGTGTGCAGACATTTCAGTCAAGGGCCCCACAGTGAACAGGGGTATTCTTTTGAGAGCATTACACTGAGCCTTGAAGAGAGGGAGCAGAGGGGAACATCAGTTCATTCTCTCCCTTGAAACAGTGAGAGCCTGAACCTGCTCCACACAGACACAAATGCTTAAAGCAGCCTATGCTCTTGGCCTGCAGCTGAGTGAATAGGAGTGATGCAAAGAAACTTGCAAAATGCAGCCTTCCAAAAAGCCAAGCTCTGATCCTTTACCTCCAGCATTAGCACAGGCTGGAAGTCAGCACAGAGCAAAGTCAACTGGGGGGAGCTTCCCCTTGATGCCAGGCAACTTTGGGGTAGAACCCATGGAATCTGAATAATTCCTTCAAAAGTCCTACAGACCCCATCAGATGGGTGATAAGAGGAGAGGTAATGTTCTTTGCCTTGGCAGAGGACACTTCACAGCTGCCTGTCCTCATTTCAGGGACTGCCAGGGAATCCTGCCATGGGGAAAGGAGGAGGGAGGGGGATTTTGTGCCTGGACCCAGCTGGAGTGAGTTACCATATCCCACAGGGAGCTATAAAACTCCTCTGGTGATGCTGGCATTCCTCCTGGTTTAACTCTGCAGCCAGGTCCTTCCCGTAGGAAAGATGAGGAACCTTTACCGGGAAGGAATACTTCAGTGTCAGGAGTGAATGAATCAGTTTTATGTGTAATTTTTGCTTATCTTTGATGTGGTCTTGAAGAAAGACCTGCACCAAGTACCATTCTTGGCTTCATTATTGACATACAAGTGGTAATAATTCAACTAATGTTGCTATACACAAGCAAAATGAAGTTTGAACCAGTACAGAATACAGGCACAGTGGTGCCTTAAGAAAGGTGGCTTTATGAAGCCAAAAAGCATTACGAGCAAGATCAACTAGAAGAAGGAAATAAGGCAGAAAATATGGGAGCTTTGTAAGAACTTCTTAAGAGTATCTTATTTAACAGGAGAAAGAAGGCTGTATCTGTGTAGAAACACAACAGACTAAGCTCAGCATAATAAATCAAAAACCTCTGCAGTAAGAAGTGAATGCAGATATAAAAGTAAGTCTTACCAATAAGGGCAAAAAAGACAAGTGTGATAGTAAAAGAGGATAGATAATTGACAAGAAAAACAAAAATGTCCAGTTGAGAACATTAATAAGGGAACGGTTTTTGCAAAACATTTCTGGAGTGGGGAAAAAAAAACCAACTTAAAACAGACCAATAGGTCTGTTCCCAAACAGAAACAACAGATACTTCTTTTTTATTTAGTAACAATGCAAGAAAATTCAATAAAGATGTCTGTTCTGTAGCTGGGAGAAAGGGTGATGTGTTTGTTAGATGATGATGGTAATATACTTTCTATTGCTACTGTAACTAAAGAGGATATTAATCAACAGCTACTGTAGTCAGACATACTTAAATCAGAAGTTCTGGGTAATTTGCATTGAGGAATTTTAAGGCAGCTGGCTGAGAAGCTTTTTTGGCAGCTAATGTTCATTTCTCAGTAACCTGTGGACATGGGAGAATTCCAGAAAACTTAAAGAATGCTGGTTGCCTGTTAGTTCATTAAAAAGTATGGGCAAGATGGCTGAGATAACAGAGGTTGTCAGGCTGACTTCAGTACAGGACAACAAAGGAAAACCTCATATTTAATTCAATTAACAGGGACTTTAAGGTGCACGCTGCAGTTAGTGCTGATGATGAACAAAGTATGGAAAATACATGTGCTCAAAGTAACTTTAATCTTCTTAAAGAGATTATTAGCCTGGTTCAGATAGGAATAACATTTAATAAGTACACTTAGGCTTCAGTAAAACACTGCTCTACAGCTGGCAAAATGAAACTATGGACTTGGAAAGTTTAAAAGAAAATAAATCAATAGGTTCACTAAAAGGTCAAACAGAATAGAAAGGAACACAATAACTTGGCTACAGAGTAAGTAACTGGAAAGGTAAAAGCCACCAGAAAACAGGAACCTCTGCTCAACAAAGAAATCTGTAGTAGAACCCAAACTGCTCCAACTTTAAGCAACCTAAATTTTGTATGTTCCAGATGTATTTCAAGCTGCTAACACTAATGATTCTGAAGTAGAGGAACAATTTAATGAAGGTTGTGATAATTTTCATCAGTAGCAATCTTTATATTAAAGGTGTATAATTTTTTTTTTCATCTCAGGCTATAGTTCCACTATCACTATTGGAAGTTAATAAAGCAGATAAAATGTTCCAAGCTCAGCAGGACCTGCAGTTTGCCCCTGTGGCTCTGGATGCTCTGTTGGGTTACAACACTTGGAAATCCTCACCTCTACTCACTTTCTTTTCTTCTAATTGCTTTTTTTTTCCAGCATGTGGCATTGACTCTTGCAGCAGTATCTTGAAAAGTTTATTTATAATGTACTAAAAGATGCAATCTTTTTAGCTGAACCAAATTTATAGTAGCAGCATTTTGGGTGATGAAACTGCAGTGCTCCAAGCTTTGTGAGTGATGCTTTACTTGGCTTGGGGTTTTTTATTAAATAGAATGATCTTACTTGTTTTACATCAAAGAACAGTGGAAGCAGAAGTGACTAATTTAATTCCTCATGCACAAGCTACTCACACCAGCTCCCAGAAATTAATATTCTTCAATGTTAGGAGATACAAATTTCAGCTGGCCATAAAAATCAAACCTCTTTCCCAGGTGAATTTCACTGCCTCAATCTGTGACTCTTAAGATGTAAACAGATGCTGAGCATATGAGCTTTAGGGACAAATCAGCTGACCTTTAATGATTGATTCTGTGAGTCCTTCCCTCACTTTCCATCAATAGCATATTTATTGATCACAGAGCTGGCTGGTACTGAATTCCTCTGGAGAAATTCAGTATCAGAAAGGCTAAGAAAAATCTTTAAAGTGCATAGCTTAATTCTCTGGTCTGTTGTCATCAAAACTGAACCTCTGAAACTGCACTTTACCAACTAAAATGGAGTCTCTTCCCTTGACCCTGAGGTCTTGGTATTACTACTCTGGCTTGCAAAGTAAAATCTCCCTTTCCGTTTAAACCTACTTGTAGGCAGGTGATTCAGCACGACTCCTCAAACCCACATCAGTGTATGGGAGCCTTGGATGCATCAGTTCTTCAGAAATCTCACTGGAGAGTAACCTATGAGTTATGTACTCCGAGAAGACTTCAGAGAAAATGTCACCACTGTGATGCCTTTACTGCTGTATGAGCTTCCCGTGAAGGCAGCTGCCAAACTAAAGAAATAAAGAATAATAATTAGGGATGATAAATATCTTTGATTTTCCCCCTCCAATTACTTGGTCCATCTGCATGCCTATCAGGTGTGATATCACACTGTTATTGCAGAGGAGTTGGTTGG